TATGACACCTGATCCAACCTCAGTATAATTTCCTGGAACCTTGTTTTCCGCCCTGTTTACAGATTTGTTTTGTTTGTAGTATAGCTTTATCACTGTTCAGTATCCTTACCCTTTTTGTTTAATTTGCCACTATACATATCACTTTTAAAAAGTATTTTACCATAAGTTTACATACAAGTATAGAACTAGAAAATGATATTAATTAAATCTACGAGGGTTGATCCAAAAGTTGTTGGAATTTCTTCATATTTTATTCATTTTTCAGTGGATGTGGTTGAAAATTACAAATAAAAATATAGACACTTAATGAATATTTTAAATTTAAAAATTTTTTAAATATCTTTGATAGTAACTTCATGGCAGTTGCCATAGAAACGGTTGTTTGGAAATGCGGGGGAGACATTAACGCGTTTATTATCATTTATACTCTTAATTCGTGAAATAAGAATTAAACCGCCCTATGTGGTATAAAACGAAAACTATTGCATTATTATGATTGTTTTATCTTTTATAAACCTGTGTGTGAGAGTTTTACTGATTTTACTGGATATTTAGTTTATAAGTTGATGGTGTATTGTTCATCTCTAAGTTGTTGAATAACGTAAAATTTCGGTCAAGCCACACGTTTTTTGAAAATCACGGTATCACTATACTTTAAACGCGTATTTCATTGACATAGGCTTGGGAAAAATGCATTTAGTTACTGGTTATCCAGTGGCATAAGAAGTTTAAGAAAAATAGAACTTTCATGGACATTGATAAAAGTTGTGGTCGCTTTTTAGAGGTTCTGTTTACGTACGTATCCCCCTAGAAAAATTAAAAGCGTTCATGGACGTTGTTGGCTGTGGCACTGTTCTTGACATTGCTACTGAAGTCGGAACATCATATGGAAGGATGGGTAGTTTTTTGTAATATGAGTAAAAAATGAAAATAAGTTGTTGCAGAGGATGCCCAGGCTTTTCTTGAGAGAATAAAATGGAGAAAAGGGCAGCATTTTGTAGAATTACGTATTATAATTGGACATTTGAGCGAGATGCTTCTATAACGTGACGTGACATATCTAATTTGACGTTACGTCGAAGTCTCCTAGGGGTTTACCGACTATCCATTTTCAGAAAGCTCGTGTGAACTTATTGGTAATTGGAAAGTGGTGAAATTTTCCAATATTGCTGCATTATGGCTCTTTTTTATGAATATGCCTGTTGCTTAATTTCATCAAAATACGATAAAATTTTAGAAAGAAATTCCACGAACTTTTGGATCAACCCTCGTATATGTTATTATTGAGCTGCCGAGTAGATTTCTTATTCTCAAAAATAACTGAAATGATTTTACCAAAATCAACAGTTTAAAAACCTACGACTTTTCTACTTTATATACAACCATTCCCCACGATAAATTAAAGTCTAGGCTTTTTGATATCATTGACAGCTGCTTTTTCAATAAAAATGGAACTCGTAAATTTGCTTACCTGGTCATTGGTCGTATGTAAAATTATTTTGTTAAAACACATTCTGATTGCACACACAATTACTCTGAAATTGACATGAAAGAGATGCTTGAGTTTCTTATTGACAATATCTATGTGGTTTCTGGAGACCAGGTATTCCAACAAGCTATTGGAATTCCCATGGGAACCAATTGCGCTCCGTTATTAGCGGACCTATTTTTATATTCATATGAAGCAGAATTTTTGCAAAATCTTATGTGTGAAAAGAAGAAAACACTTGCTGTGGACTTCAACTCGACATTTAGATATATCGACGACGTATTGTCAATGAACAATGGTCATTTCCATTCCTACGTCGATACGATATATCTTGTTGAGCTTAAGATAAAAGATACCGCAGAGTCTGACACATCTGTTTCATACTTGGATATTTTACTTGAAAAAACGTTAATGGTAATCTAACAATCAAGCTCTATGACAAAGGTTATGACTTTAACTTTTCTATCGTCAACTTCCCTTACTTTTGCAGCAATATACCTTCATCACCTGCACACGGCGTTTATATCTCTCAGTTGGTTCGATACGCAAGAGCATTCTCTACGTATGAACAATTTGTAAAACGAGGTAAATTACTGACAAGCAAGTTGATGAAACAAGAATATCAGCAGTCTCATTTAAAGTCATCATTTCGTAAGTTCTATGGTCGATACAATGACCTTGTCAGCAAATACAATTTATTATAGAGCCAAATGCTGACAGACATTTTTCATAGTAATTGTTAGTCCATTATTTATATACTGCATTGACGACGGATTTTTCCGTTATTTCCTAATCATGACAAGGAGCACACGGCGGGTGTGACCGGTCAGCAGGGGATGCTCACTCCTCCATGGCACCTGATCCCACCTCTGAAGTATCGGAGGTCCGTGTTTGCTCTGCTCCTATTTTGTATTGTTTAATGGACTTCGATATTGAATACTGTTCGTTATATCCATATCCTTCATGTAGTAAATCAAAGTCAATTTGATTGTTACTGGATAATTAACAAAATTTAAAACTGACATTCAGGTATGATTTAGAATTATGATTGTAGAATTACAACTTGCAGAATTAAAAATCATTTCTTCCAAAATGCAATTTGAGTAATTAGCTTTAAAAACAAAGACAATATATGTTGTTTGTTACCTGCTTTGTCGGTTTTCCTTCAATATCAACTTCAGAGTACTTGCGTGTAGAGTCAGAGTAATTCTTAACCAAAAAATTGTCGATGATCAATCAAAAGATTCGAATACTTAAGATTTTATTTTTATGAAAGAAAAAAAAACAGTTAAAGAGCCTTGTCTTAATTGTAAGCTATGGTTGCATTACCTTTTAAAAATTCATGTTTTTCGCCATTAAGTTTGTAAAAAAAATATATATATTTTTGAAAAAAATCCAATTCCATTAGGTTTTAAAGAATCACTACTTCTTTTGCATCACTTCTCAAATATGATATAATACAGTACGTCCGAAGTTAATTTCTCCTTCATTGCATTGCAAATTCTATTAGAGTAAAGATAAATTTTATAGTAAATCATTCACTGGAACAATCATTGTATCCTTTAGAAGATAACTATGAAGTACTGATCTCCCGTCTAGGTACGAAGTACACATTTGCTGACTGGGTCAATTAAACGGTTGAAATGAAATATAGGGAGACGACGAGGAGTATTCAAGTATAAGAGATCAATTAAACAATAAAGAGCACAGCAAACAAGAAGGTGGGATCAGGTGCCATGAAGGAGTGAGGATCCCCTGCAGACCGGTCACACCCACCATGATCTCCTTGTCAGGATCGGAAAATAGCAGGGGGGGGAATCCGCAGACAACTCAGTGTTCAAATAATACCCAAACAATTAGTAAGAAAAACGTCCATCAGCTTTTGAATAAGTGATTGATTGTACTTACTGACACTTGGTCAGTGTATCGATCATAGAACTTACGAAATGATGACTCTAAACGTCATCATTTCGTCTGATATTCTTCTTTCATCAACCTGTTTGTCAAAAACTTACCTCATTTTAGAAATTTAAAAATTAATCTGAAACTTGATTTTGAAGTATTTTATTTAGTGAGCCTCAAATGAATATCAGATGCGGCCAATTTCTGCCTATTTCACAAATTACGTATAATTTTAAAAATGCTTAAAAAGTCTTTTGCTGTTGCTTCAAAATCGTAACATCGATACTAAGTATTTTCTGTTAAAGAGTCTTCTGCAAAAAAGGAGAGAAAACCATTAGGGAGCTCTTGAATGTAAGTGAGTTATGTATTTTAATGGTAATCAATAATTTGTGTTGTATCATTCATAATTACCGATGTTTAATGCAAATTGGATTAAAAGTCATTCATATCCTTGTAGATAGGGTTTCTGGGTTATGACACAAAATCTTCTACATTGCTATGTAGGGACGTTTGTATCGATTTGCAGACTTATTTAAGGATGTTTTCAATTATAAAAAGCATTTATTCAAAGAATGGATTAAAAATACCTCCAACTAAATTCGATATCAATTTAATTTGAATAAATGTTATCTTGAATTCCCCACAGACTCGTCTGTTGATGATGAGGTTTGAAATAAACGATAAATGTAGTCACCTATCAAGAAGAATTTGTCAAATGTAAAATTAAGTTGAGTGTTTGGAATGTATAATAAATAACTATTTAAAAACCAAATTTCTATGGTGCTCAACCCGTAACAGACACCCAAAATCAACTGTCTCCAGTTTATAACGGAATATAAGGGACTTGTGTGTGAATTAGATCAAATTTTAGAACCGATGCAGGATACTCACACATAAGTTGAGGTCACAGGAATTTCAATAACCTCGCTTAAAGTTAACATTTTGTAAATTCTATGGTCGTTCATATGATCTTATTAGCAAATACTAGTATAACCTATCACTTGGTCGTATTTTTGCTGACTTGTTAAGCCTTCGTGAACTGTTTTGTACTAAATTTGTCTACGGAATGATCCGAATATTTGATCAATACACACGATTCACGAAGGGTGTGACGTACAACAGGGGACGTTTACTCCCCTTATAGGCACCCGATCTTACCTCTGGAATTACTGTGTTCACGCCTGTTTAAAGAATTGCTTTGTTTGTAGTTTTCATGAGATCTGTTTTTCATCTATCTCTGTATTTGTCGTCACATTTTTCATGAATTAATCTGAAGTTTGACTGAGCTGGGTGATTTATGTCTGAATTCGAAGCCTTTAAGTACATGGAGGAAATTAATTAATTACTTTATAAATTGAATTCATGAGTTTGAGCATAATGCATGACGTGTGAAAATTGAAAATTCATTAAATACTGAAATAATCCGTGTAAATAGGAATCGTCGTTTTTGAGAATGTAAAGAATGTGAAGTTTTCATTGATCATTCCCAAAACCCACGAGACAATGTCGACTAATTTAATTCTGCAGTCTTATTACATAAAGAGTAGATAATCTAGCATCCATTCCTAAAAGTTGCACAAAAACAAAATGAACGCTAGAGTATGGAAAAGCACCTTTATTTAAAATCATATCCTATAAGAAAAATAAAAGATGGAGATAATTGATTTGAATACCGGCGAAAGTTATTGCAGCTAATTACAAAGACTTGTATTTCACGTATTGGTAATGTAGTCCTCCTCAAATTGTCGTGAGAATGGAGAAAGTTCATTATTCATGATGACCTCTGCCTCCTTAAGAAGTGACAAACGATCCGTCTGACTGGAATCCCTGCAAAAATAAAATTAATAACTCAATTAACGACTCAAATTAGCCTTCTGTACAGAATAATTAATAAAACTTGATACTACGTAAAAAAAAATTAATAACTCAATTAACGACTCAAATTAGTCTACTGTACAGAAAACCAGAACTCATAAGCCTTGATACTTCATAAATATAGAATTAATAACTCAATTAACGACTCAAATTAGTCTTCAGTACCAAACCAAAAAATTATAAGCCTTTATACTTCACAAAAAAATAATAACTCCGTTAATAACAACCTAAGTTAGTCTACTGTACAAAAAAAAAAAGAATTTATAAGACTTGATACTTTATAAAAATAGAATTATTTACTCAATTAACCACTCATATTAGTTTACTGTACAGTCTCATATGCCTTGGTACTTCATAAAAATTAAATAGAATTATTAACTCAATTAGCGACTGAAATAAGTTTACTGAAGAGTGAAAATAACCCCCCCCCCCCCCCCCCCCCCCCCCCAAAAAAAAACCAAGCCTTAATACTTCATAAGAATAGAATTGTTATCTCCATTAACGACTCAAATTAGTCTTCTGTACAGAAAAAAACCAACCAGAATATTTCAGCCTAGTTACTTCATAAAAATAAAATTATTAACTCAATTAACAACTCAAATTAGTCTACTGTACAGAAAAAAAAACCCAGAATTCATAAGCTTTGATACTTCATAAGATGAAACATATGGGGATAGCGAACAGTATTCAAGGTCAAAAATCCAAAAAACAATATAAAATAGGAGCAGAGCAGACACGGACCTCCAAAACATCAGAGGTGGGATCAGGTGCCCTGGAGGAGTGAGCATTCCCTGACTACCTGTCACACCCGCCGTATGCTTCTTGACATGATCGAGATATAACGGGAAAATCCGTCGCCCATTCAGTATATAAATAATTTACGAAGAATTAGTATGAAAAAAGTCAGCCAATATTTGACTCAATGATAAATTGTATTTGCTGATAATGTCATCGTATCAACCATAGAACTTACGAATTGATAACTTTAAACGAAACTGCCGATTTCTTTGTTTCATCAACTTGTTTTTCAATAATTAACCTCGTTTAAGAAATTACTCATACGAAGAGCATGCTCTTGCGTATCGAATAAACTGAGATATATAAACTCCGTATGCGGGTTTTTGAATTTTAAAAAGGTTTACCTGGAGACGAAAAAATCCACTCAAACAAGCTAGACTTGACTATTTCCTGATATCAGAATCTATGATAGCTATGAATTCTTGTGTCAAATTTGAAAATAGTCATTGTTCTGATCATTCAACAGTTCTATTACATTGTAAATTAAATGAATTTAAAATGGGAAAGGGTTTCTGGAAATTCAATAATTCCCTGCTACATGAAAAAGAATATATTGAACAAATAAAATGTAAGATTGAGGATGTTCAATATTCTTGCCCAGTATATAATATGGAAAAAATAGGTTGCATCGAGAATGGTACTTTTCAATTTACCATTAGTGACCAACTCTTTCTTGATATCTTGTTAATGGAAATAAGAGGAAAATCAATTTCATTTTCAACATGTAAAAAAACTTTTGAAAGAGAACAACAGTTAGAGAGAGAAATATTAGAATTAGAACAGAATTTAACAGATCAATTAATAATGAACTCGAAGAAAAGAAAAGAGAAGGAGAAGAAATAAAGAATATAAAATTCAAAGGTCAATGCATAAGGTCAAAGATCAAATGGATTGAGGAGGGAGAAAAACCTTCAAAATACCGGGTATTTTGTAAGCAAATACCTAAAATAGAAAAGGAAATGGATCAATTGTTTCTTCCCAAAGTGAGATATTAAATGAAACAAAAGCTTTCTATGAAAACTTATATAAGAAAAGGGAAAATGTAGAATCTGAAAATATTCATGAAAGACTTAAAGAATGTGATATTCCCAAATTAAGTAGAGAGGAATCAAACAGTCTTGAAGGACCAGGAAAAAACTTTGAAGTCTTTAATTTACTGAAACAAATGAAAAATGACAAAAGTCCAGGACCAGATAGATTTACATGTGAATTTTTCAATTTTTTCTGGAAAGATATTGGCTCCTTTATTACAAGAGCAATTAATAATTCAAATGAAAAACTTCAACTCTCAGACTCAAATAAATTAGGAATCATTACTTGTATCCCAAAAGCAGGAAAGCCAAAACAATTTCTGAAAAATTGGCGACCCATAAGTCTTTTAAATGTTGTTTATAAAATAGCATCAGGATGCATTGCTGAACGAATGAAAACTAAATTGAGCAAATTGATAAACAGAGACCAGACTGGATTTACAAAAGGTAGATTTATCGGAGAGAATGTTAGACTGATATATGATATAATGCATTATACAGAAGAATGTAATCAAATACCTGGCCTATTGATGTTAATTGACTTTGAAAAGGCATTTGATACAATCTCATGGAATTTTATATATCAAACCCTTGACTTTTTAAATTTTTAACCCTCTTTTAAAAACTGGAATAGAACCTTCTATAATGGTATTAAATCATGTGTTATACAAAATGGATTTACTTCGGACTACTAGTATCTTTTCCCCCAAAGAGGATGTAGACAAGGTGATCCGATCTCACCTTATCTCTTTTTGTTATGTGCTAAAATTCTTGGAATCTTAATTCGAAATAATCAAGATATAAAAGGTATAACAATTGAGGGTGAAGATTACAAACTCTCCCAATATGCTGATGAAATTTCTCAGATGGTTCACCAAGATCCATGGATGGTATTCTCCGAGAATTAGATTATTTTGCTAATATATCAGGCTTAAAGATAAATTTCTTAAAAACTAAAATGATGTGGATTGGAAGTAAAGAATTTTCAAGGGAAGTATTTCATCAGTCAAGGTGGAAGCTTGATTGAGAAAATTCAATATTTGATCTTCTAGGAATAAAATTTTCCGTAAACTTGGATGAAATGCTCGATCTTAATTATTCCATAAAGCTAAATGAAATCAAAATTTTGTTAGTAAGTGGAGTTTGAGGAAACTTACCCCAATCGGAAGGTTAACAGTAATTAAAACTTTAATATAACCTAAACTAACAAATCTAATTCTTACTTTACCAAACCCTAAGTCAGATTTTTTGAAGATGTTGAGACTGAAATGTATTATTTTCTATGGGATAGCAAAATTCATAAGGTAAAGGAAAATGTGATAATCCAGGACTATAAATATGGAGGCCTAAAAATGATTGATTATACAGAATTCATTTCTGCTCTAAAATCAAGTGGATCAGAAGACTTATTAACTCACATGCAAGCTGGGTAAAACTATTTGAAGCTGAACTAAAATAGATATAAACAATCTTTGGATAAGGGGTTTGGATTACATTCTGAATCTCTCAACACGATTAAATAATGTTTTTGGAAAGAAGTTCTGTCAAGCTGGGCAAGGCTAATTAAGATAAATCAAGAGAACGACAGGCATGTGCTCTTTGATCATATATGGAATAATCCAAAGATTAAAATTAATAATAAATCTTTCTTTTTGGAAAAAATATTCTAATGAAGGCATTGTTTTTCTTACTGAACTCTTCAACAATGAGGGTAGTTTCGTAAGTCTCGACTCATTAATAAATTTGAAAGTGAAAACAAATTTTGTTGATTATAATGGTCTTAGAATAGCAGTGTTAGATAGACTGAAAAATATAAACAGTGATGAAAATAAAAATACTATGTTAACTGGAACACATATCCCAAATTCCATTTTTGTATTTTATAAACATGATAAAGGTGGTAAGGATTTGTATAAGTTTAATTTTCATTGTAGTTTTAATAGACAAGCAATAATATTTGCTAACTATGAAAATATGAATGTTTATAGATTTCAAGACCTTTAAAACTTATTGTAAAACAATTGCCAGAAAATATAAGAATGTTCCAAATATATATGCTGAAGCTGTATTAAAGAGGATCACAGAATTTTTATTGAAAAATTTTTGTTGCTGAAGAGTTGCAGATATGAGGAATACGAAAAGCAAAATATTTGCGATACATTGTAAGCAAAAGAGTTACATATACATGAATATATATATATATATATATATATATATATATATATATATATATATATATATATATATATATATATATATATATATATATACATCCTATACCTTATTTGAGTGGTTTTATATCTTTTTTGTATTATTTGTAATAGAAGAATCGTTTTTTTTTCTTGCCGACCCCCCTTTTTCGTCTTTTTTTCTTCAAAACAACTTTCACATTCTATAAGTATAATTATGTGTTGTGTGTAGATCGAATGTAATTGTGTACCAATAGATCAAAATTATCATACAGTACATGTGAAAGTGTTATAACAATAAAAAAAAAACTCCGTATACAGGTGATGAAGGTATATTGCTGCATAAGTACTTGGGAAGTTAAAGTCATCACGTTTATCATAGAGCATGGTTGTTAGATTACCATTAACGTCCTTTTCAAGCAAAATATCCGAATATGAAACAGATGTGTCAGACTCTGTGGTAATTTTAATCTTTTTTTTCTTTTTTTTCAACATTTATTTCACAGACTTAAATAAATAAACAGCTGATATGTAGGTATCTTTTATCTCAAGTTCACCCTGAAATATATAGATCGACATAAGAATGGAAATTACAATTGTTAATTGACAATAAGTAGTCGATATGTCTAAATGTCGAGTTGAAGGTCACAGCAAGCGTTTTCTTCTTTTCACGCATAAGATTTTGCACAAATTCTGATTCATATGAATACAAAAATGGTCTGCTAATAACGGGGCGCAATTGGTACCCATGGGAATTTCAATAGATTGTTAGAAGACCTTGTCTTAAAAACCACTTAGATATTTTCAATCAGAAATTTAAGCATTTATTTGATGTCAACTTCAGAATACTTGTGTGTACAATCAGAATGTTTTTTAAGAAAATAATTTTGCAAGTGACCAATGACAAGGTAAGTAAATTGACAAATTCCATTTT